GCTAAGAGATCTGTTTCCAAGAAAACCTCAAGTTCTGTTCCTGTTGCCCCTCTGGATAATATGTCATTCCACTCTATTGACAGCGTGTCAAAGTGGAAATTCGTGTATCAAAAAAGGATTGCCTTGGAAAGAGAGTTAGGAAAGGATGCTTTGGAAATCAAGGAGGTCATGCAATTAATTTCTGATGTTGGGTTGACCAAAACTGTAGTTGGGCTCTCTAAATGTTATGATATGCTTGTGAAGGAATTCAATGTGAATATCCCTGCAACCATTATTGATAGTTTAGAATCAAGCTTCAAGGCCTTTATGTTTTGATGAAGACAACTCATGCAAGTATGGTTCACGTTCGCAAAAAGCAAGAAGCGTAAGCAATCAAGAATAAACTTTCAAGATCAAGATATGGATCAAGCTTCGTATTCAAGCTTCAAGTGGTATTGATTTTTCAAGGGACGGTATAACAAATCTTACTTAGAAAATATCTATACAAGTGTTCCTTAAATCACACTTCACTACACCACTTTGACTAAATCTTTTAAAATATTTTTAAAACACTCTTTACATTTTAAATTAAGTGTTTTTACAAAAACCTTCAGTGTTAACCGATTAACACACTTTAAATTTCAGTATTTTTGGGATTTCTTACAGTGTTAACCGATTAACCTATATGGTTAACCGATTAACACATGTAAAATTCAAATATTTTTATACGTTGTGAAGGTGTTAACCGATTAACCTATTTGGTTAACCGAATAACACTGTAACAGCAAGCAAAAATAACAACTGTTCATGGAGAATTGCATTGCTCCTTGTTCTTCTTACTGACTATTTTTGATATCCCAAAAACACACCTTTTTGGAAAGGTTTTTGATCAGTATAAATTAATTTCAATTTCAAAATCAAAATCACCTTCAAGAAACAAATTTCAAAAATTACTCTTTGTCTTCAACCTTTTGAATTTTCATAAAAGTGTTCAAACCAGAATTTTGAAAGAAGTCATTGAAATAACTTTCACATCATTCACAGCTTGCTTTCACAAAAAGAACACTTGTATAATTTATGAGTAATCTTTGTTTCGAGAAGAATATCAATATTTATATTGATAACCATTCAAATTTGTACTTATACAAAATTCAGATATTCACTACAACTTATTCTTAGAATTATAAAAGATAAGTTTGTAGGGTTGTCGTTGTTATCCGGATTGTGGATACAATAGGTCCTTGTGTGAGATATTCATTCTCGGTAGAACTTTAAAATTGTGTAAATCCAAGAAGGGTGTTCTTGGTTGTTAGGATTGTCTTGTGTAGAAATCTAACATTGATAGTGAAATACTCTTTCATGTTGAAAGGGGAGTGGAGTACTCCCGGATTGTGAGGGGAACCACTATACATCGTTGTATTCTTTACTTTCAGCATTTCCCGCCTTTCATCACCAAGAAGCCATAATCAAGTAAAATCCAAGAATCGTCAAAAATAAAAAAAAAAAGTGTCTAAGAACCTAATTCATCCCCCCTCTTAGGCATACATATAACTTACAGATAGAAAGAGTGTAACGCCTCAGACTGCTTTCAGGATTACCGACTAACCCCACAAACCAACACGGGTCTTTTCAGTATGCTTTGTTCTTAATCACATACTTTCCGGGATACTTCCCAGAAGGTCACTCATCTCAGATATTAGTGTCGTAACATCGCCTTCGACATCTGATATTTGATACCAAAATTTCAAGGGTGACAACTGTGATGCCAATTAAAATTTTATGGCACAAGCAATACATGATGTGGAATATGATGTTCTACCTTCAGCGTACAATGTCATGACAAATGTTGTAATATCTGCAGACTGACATAACAATTTATTCAACCATTAAAATTGTGCAGAATTTTAAATGCAGAAAGATAAATAACACAATGGATTTTTAACCCATTTTGGTGCAACATCATCTACACCTAGAGGATACCAAGCCAGGAATAAAATCTATTATCACCAGTATTAATTTAGAGTTAAACTCTCCTGTTAATAACACATCACTTAATCCCTACCCAATGTAACTTCTATCTAGGAACTCCTAGATATGAGAAATCACCATCTCAATCTCAATCACATTAGTGATAAACAAACACTCCCAATCCCCGAGAATGCCACAAGAAACCAAAAAGAAATATGTACCATTTTTCTTTCAAGAACCATACTAGGTCAAAACTCTTGACCAAGAACAATACTCGGTTTTGCTTAAAAGCTTCAACCAAGAATAATACTTAACTCTTATGCTTAAAAGCTTTAGAGTGAGAATAATATACAACCTAAATATGTCTATCACGATGCATCAAAAGATACAAAGGGTGACTCACAAAGTCAAACCACAAGAGACTCTCAAAACCTAACTCTATAAAACCTCCCCTTATTTTACAAAATTGAAAGTCCTTTTCTTCATCAGATTTAGGTCTTCTTTAAATACCCCTTAGCAATTCATGAGCTTCGAAATCTTTACCCAAATATTTTTTGATCCACATGCTAATTGTTGCATTAATTGTGCAGAAAAATTCTCCTTGAATCTTGGAACAAATCATCAAATTTTTTAAATTGTCTCAATATCGAATTTTAGAAACTTATGAATAATTAAGGATCAAATCAAATATTCCAGATTAAACATTCTTAACCTAAGATATATTCAATCGAGATCTCACAAAATCAAATCAAATAACACTTCAAATCTTCCCATGATATTCTGCATGAAAATAGAACAAAAGATTCCAAGGATAACTTCACAAAGTATGCAACAAAACTCTTTTGATTCAAATAAAATCTCCACCCTGATTTGCGCCACCAATATCTCTTACCAGAAAAACTCAAAAGATTACACAAAATATTTATAACAAATAACAACAAATAAATTACAACATTCTGAACTGAATGATGTTAAGTTCTGTAATAACATGTTAGAACATCAAATTTGACATCCTGTCTTCTAACTCTGCACAACCTAAATAATCAACTTGCAGAGATGTTTGACCCACATGTCAAGACATCTTGCACAACATATAGCTTTAGCAACATGTTTTAGCAAAATGCAACCAACACAGATCTTTCAAAGTTCAAATACTTGTCTTTCACCTGAAAATAACACTGATCAACAAACTCCTGCTTTTCGCTTTAACACTAACAAACTTTTATTTTTAATCAACAAACCTTGTTTCCGCTGTAGCGCGAGCAAATCTTTTTTTACAACTTCTTACCAACACATAAATTTTTTCTACAAAGAACTACGTAACTTTGAATTTGTCGTTGCACCTAAAGATACGTAGGAGTCAGATTCAACATCTTGTTAAAGACCGGAAAAAAAAAAAACTTTTCTTGTGGGTCTTGTTGGATGCCCAAATGAAGTTTTGCCATATATGTCCAATGCATTTCATGGATAGAGAAACTTATTAGATGAGTCGTTACACTCCATATCGTCTTATCCTCATTGGCATTTTGCATTAAATCAAGATAAGACATAATACATAAAATACACTCCATATCATCTTATCCTCATAAGCATTTTGCATTAAATCAAGATAAGACATAATACATAAAATACACTTCATATCATCTTATCCTCATAGGCAGTTTGCATTAAATCAAGATAAGACATGATACATAAAACAATGTGACGCTAATTTGTGTATGAAACTTTATTAAAAGAAATAATTGAGACATAATAAAATGAAATGTATTAGTACATCTTTGGGTTTCATGTGCTCTATAATGAGCGATATCCAATGAGAAAATGTTGTGTTTTTATAGTCCATATGTTTGAATGCCATCTAACATAAAAAATAAAATAAAATGTATTTAATTAAACAAATTTCTTAGAGTTTTTAATATACTATGCAAAATTTCAAAAATATTTTTACTTTTGAAAGATATATCTCTAAAGATATACAAATATATATATTTTATTTGTTTTTAATCACACTTTAACTTTATATATAAAATTTATTTTTGAAAATTTTTCGAAAACATATTTTCAAAATCTTATTTGTTTTAAGCAACTCTTCTTAATTAATATGTTAAATATAATTAAACTTGTAGGTAAGTTCAAAAATAAATTCTATTTCTGAATAAGTATATTGTTCCATATTGATTCAAGCTAATATTGCCGTACCTAACTGATAAACATATTATTTCTAAATTATAACATTTACCAAAAGTTTTTATTTAACATTTTCCAATTTATAATTGTTCATTGATCTTAATTGGAAAAAAAAAAATGTCTCCCTTGATTTAATCGGTGAAAAACAATATTATAGTTTCAAATAAACTTTTTTAAGAAATGATTTTTCATATAAAAAATGAACATATCTTTTTAATAAAAAAATTGTGTCGGACAAAATCCACAAATAAAAAATTATATATATATATATATATATATATATATATATATATATATATATATATATATATATATATATATATATATATATATATATATATATATATATATATATATATATATATATATATATATATATATATATATATATATATATATATATATATATATATTTAAAAACAAAAATCCAAAGTTACGTATCATTTCTTATTTTGAATTCTTAAACTCCCAATATCTGTCGTGAGTCGTGAGTCCTGACCACTCCTTGATAACTTTTTTTCTCATTTAGTCAAAATGAACATTGCATAGCAACTTACACAACCACGAGGAGTGCTGTGGACGGTAGAATAGAATCATATCCTCCAAAAGCACAAGAGCAGTGACGTCACGACATACGTAAGAAACCAGCAAATCCCTCCAAAATTTTACAAAGTCCAAAACCTTGCTGCCCAAGTCCCGTGATTCTGTCTGACTGAGAATCACTGCATGCCTCACAAACACTCGTGGGCCCCCAAATTCTCGGAGCCCAAACCCACTCCACCCTATATATTCAACACACGTTTATAACAAAAACTAACCACAGCTCAAAACATAACCACAAAACTCACAAACAAAAACAAAACATTATGTGTCCTTCTGGCCGGAGCCTCCGTCTACAACCTCCCGCATCCGATTTCCGACCGGCATTCGACGTTCTCGACACCGACTCCGACGGTAAAATAAGCCGCGAAGATCTCCGTTCATTCTACGCCACCAACAGCGGCGGCGTCAAAGACGACGCGATCCGTGCAATGATGTCGGTGGCGGACACGAACATGAGCGGGTTCGTGGAGTACGAGGAATTCGAGCGGGTTGTTAGCGGTGATGCAGAAAAGAGCCCGTTAGGGTGTGGCGCCATGGAAGATGTGTTCAAGGTGATGGACAGAGACGGTGACGGTAAAGTTAGTCATCAGGATTTGAAGAACTATATGGCTTTGGCTGGGTTCGACGCCAGCGATGAAGATATAAACGCTATGATTAGGTTTGGCGGTGGCGATGTGAACGGCGGCGTTAGCTTCGATGGTTTGATTCGTATATTAGCTTTTGATCATCTTGCTCCGGCTAATTAATTGATTAGTGTTTAATTGTATTTTTATGTTAAGAAAAAAGTTACTCGATAAATTGGTTTTGTGATGGATTATTATGGAACACCTCAATTCAATGTGTTGTAATGATGAATTATACTTAATAGGCTCGAATAAACATGTGTTTTAATATAGTACAATAGTATTTGGACTGTATTGAGTCCGGATACATTGATTGTTATATTGAGAACACATCTATTGTTATCTTATGGACGAGGTAATTAAGGGATACATTGACTGTTATATCGAGAACACATTGATTGTTATCTTATGGACGAGGTAATTAAAGATATTCAAATAAATGGGTTATTTAAATAATTCATATTCATATTTAAATTCGGTTATTAAAAATCGTTAATAATTAATATGATTTTAATCAAATTTATATTTTAAAAATATTTTAATATGATTTTAACTAAATTCATAATTTAAAAATCTATATCCAAAATAAAAATCATATTAGTTAATCTTTTTAATTAAAAAAAAACTTTGAATTTTTTTTCAAATAATAAATATTTTACTATTTATTTTTGAAACATCTTTGACGGAAACTAATTTATTTTTTATTTTAATTTCAGCTTTAAAAATTAATTATTTTACTATTTGATAAATAATATATAAATTATATCAATCTATACTATTTCTATTTTATTATATTTTATGTCACGTCATTTTAAATTTATTACTCAATTTTATTTGAATTTTAAATTTATTACTTAATTTTATTTAAGTATAAGACTGAGTGATCTAAAGTGAGTGGTTTTAATAGTGAATGATCAATTTAATGTTAAACCAATCATCTTTTATTATTATTATTATTATATATTAACATAAATTTACATATTATATAATTTATTAATTGTTAATATAATTGCTGCACAATAATAGTTTCACACATGCGTGTTAAAATATCTAAATACTTATTCTAGTATGGTTGTATTATACTAAAAGTCTATTTGCTCTTTTCAAGATGATTAAGAAAGATTTTGTTTAAAATTTCTACAATCGATTTGCAAAACATTTTATTCAAGATATATAAACTATATAATATCTCCTTCATATCACTTATTATATTTAGCACTCTAATTATTTTATTCATGATTAATAAAAACTTAAATAAAAACTAAATTAGTCAATTTTTTTAATTAAAAAAAAATTCAATTTTTTTTTGAAAAAAAGTATTGTTTTAATTTTTTCACTAAATAAATTTTTCCAAAAAATTTTAAAAAATATATATTTTTAAAATTTTAAAATAACTATTGTTTTTTTTAACATCAATATTTTTTTTTTTAAAAAAATATTATGATTTTGAAAAAATCAATTCTAAAATAAAATTAAATCAAAATTAATTGTAAAATTGGTTATGGATATAACCGGTTTATAACCATTTTAAAAGATAAAAACCGGTTATGAGAATTGGTTTTAATAACCGCTTGTAATATATAGATTATTTAGGATTATGGATTGATTTTGGACATTAACCATCTATGACCACCCCCTAAAGGCAATAAATAAATTTTTCGAAAAAAAAAACACTTGTTAATATAATAACCAAATGAATTTCTATTGTTTAATGTAGTAAAAGATATAACATGAATTATGTTTAATGATTGATTAAAAAAATCTATAAACTTTTTTATTTTTTAATAAAGGGTGAAAAAATTAAAACTAAAGGATTTTAGTTTTAAGAGCGGTTATTATTCGATTTGAAATTCTGTTTGTAGTTGTTTTTAACGAATAATTATGAATTTTAAAGTTTTCGAGATTAACTTGAAAATTTTTAGAATTGATTTTGTTTGAAAAAAAACTTATTATGACCTAAATGTAATGCGTAGCTACAACACGCATAATCTCTCACAAATTGTTTACATGCTAGTAACTACTTGCTTGTTGAAGCGCATAAAGTTCTTCATCTTTGGTTTCCTCAATCTTTTAAATATTCAGAGTCAGTCGGAGAGCACTCAAGTCTATCCTTGAGACTCCTTTAACTAATTCCTCAAGATATCTCCTTGAGATTTTTCCAAACTAACATCTCAAGATGTCAGATGAGAAGCTCCAGTCGACGTGCAAACATTGTCTACTCTTGTCCACCATTTATTACACTTTGTACTTCACAAAATGTAGCAATGACTTGATTTTCCTATCTCATATCAAAAGATGCCCCCCAAAAAGGTCACATTCGATCATGATCAAGTGGAAGAAAGGTGGTATTTTTTAAACTCTTCGATACTATTCATTATGTACACGTGACATCAATAAAACATCAAGGTAATTAATTATTATTGAGATCATTATGACCATTTTTTTCACAAAAACGTCACGTCACAGACGTGCGCGCAAACTCGTGATAATCACCTCTTATTTTCTAGGAGTTTTAAATGAAAATGTTTTGGACTGCCCCAATGGCTAGGCATGGTCCAATCCATTTATGCTCCCAGAATGACTCAATTGCGTAAGTCCAACCTCTTTGGTGGAAAATTTACCTTCCCGCCCCTCCAACAGGGAAATCTGACCTATTTACCTTTGGTCACAACATTTCTTCGCTTTAGTTTATGCCCTTCACGCACGGTTCCACCATCCAGAAATAGCCAAGACACTTGTGCCCATAACTACGCCTCTCCCCGTACCAACAACTAGCTATGATCACGTTTACCCGTTCCAACGGCTAGTTCTGGCAGTTACCTATTCTTCGAGAAACGGTTATCTCGCCCCGAAAATAGGGACTAATGGCCAAGCAATTTAGGCATTATAAAATTGATCTCATTTGAGAGGGTCAGGTATCCAATATTCACCCTAAAACACACATATTATGTATTTGCTCTCTCCCTTGCTCGTTTTCTTACTTTAGCATCGAAGTGTCTTGCAGGTACATCCTTTCCTCCTCTTTCACATCCAACATCACAAACGCTTGTCTTTGACCCACCTCAGGTTCTGATCAACAGGTAAGATCGGTGGCGTCGTCTGTGGGAACTGGTTATCCCCGTCTTTTCTCTCTTCGTAGAATACAAGACTAAAATAATTCTTCAAATTTCTGATCATGGCTTCCCGTGACAACAATCTTGATGCTCGTAAAACTACTTTCCTCCCCGTCAACAAGACTAATGCTGATGGAGCCACCAGCTCTTATGGCGACGACTTCCTCAAACATAGGGACAGAGCCACATCTTCTCCATCCCTTGTTCGTGCAAATCACGGTGAAGCCCCACTTGTCCCGTAACACCTGCTAGTTCTAGTTCCGCCCAACGCTGACCCGACCATGGCGGCCCTCCTCGAGGTTCTCAACAAAACCAACCTCCTAATCCTTAACCAGAACGCTGGGATTTGAGCATTGGAAGAGTCTCGTCGTCCAAGGTCCCTTCCACTGAGGAAAGAACGTACGTTAGCGATGACGAAGTCCCCCTCCCCGACGCGAGAGGAACCGTCAAACGCCTTCAGTACCAGAGACTTTGACCATCTACAAACGCGACCAGATTTATCCCCATAACTAACATTCCTCACATTCCAAGAGGACCAGAAGAGGCCACTAGGAAGAATCCTAACGTTCGTCTTCGCCCAGATCCAAGGGCCGAGCACGAACCCTGTCTCCCCGACGAGACTGCCGTCCTAATTATAGACGCGACGCTCGTTCCCTTTCTTGGACCACTAGCAGCAATAACGATGAGACTCGTGAACCATTGTCCCAGGAGATCATGGTTATGCACCTCCTAAAAGGACTAGAGAAACCTCACTCTCTAGGCACATATGACGGAACAACTGACCTCGACGAGCACATCAAAAACATTGGTGCGTTGCTCGACTATCGCAACATCCGGGGCGCAATCAAGTGCAGGTTATTCCCGACCACACTTGGGAAGGGGGAAATGACCTGGTACAAAGGGGTTTTGGACGACTCCATCACCTCATGAAGGTAACTAGGGAGACTCTTCTCCAGACACTTCACAACCTCTCGCCGACATCCGAAGACCAAAACCTCCCTCAAGGCCATCATTCAGTGGAGAGATGAATCCCTGTGAGCCTACATTAAAAGATTCAACAAGGAGGCCGTCCAAGTCTCTACCACTAATGACATGAAAAAGTTTCTACTTGAACGCGGGCTCCGTCCCCGTACAGAATTCGCTAAACCTGTTGGCATCCAGCCCCCGACAACGCTAAACACTTTCCTCCTCAAGGCCCAAGCGTATATTAAGTATGAGGAAAAAGAGATTGTCAGCTCTTCCCGTGATTCCAAGCACATGGAAAACTCCCGTCCTTCATAATTCGACGAGCCCTCGACATCTCATCGAGGAGATAAAAAACAAAAAGACCGTCCCCGTGAGCCCCGGGATGACAAGGAACCTTCTGGCCAGTTCCACAAATACACTCCCTTGGCAATTTCGAGGGAAAAGATCCTCACTGAGTGCGCCAACTCAGAATTTCAGCAAGTAGGGGTCCAGTTCCCAAAGTAGATACCATCTAAACCCAACACTGATAAGTCTAAATACCGTCGGTTCCACAAGAGCCATGACCATACGACAGAAGACCGCATCCACCTGAAGGATGCCATCAAAATACTCATCAGGGATGAGCATCTAAAGTAGTTTGCCAAGCGAAAGGAAGCTTCTCGGCTAGACGCTCAAGAAGCCCAGAAGGCTGAAGAAGAAGTGCCTTCCTCCGAGGAAGTCAGCCTCCAGGTCGCCATGAGCGTCTCATGACCTGAAGATTTCTGCATCCCCGAGGGGCTCAATTCTCCTCCATATTTTTTCCGCGCACATCCCATGGGAGATGTTTCCCTCTGCCATGGTCATCTCTGGAGGATGTTTTAACAGAGTGACGATAGGGTCCGTCAAGAGGAAATTTGAGCATCTCATCAGCAACAACTCAAATCGGAACTCGACCCTTGATAGAGTCCAGGGAGAGTCTACCCCTATCTGCTTCTACCGTGAGGAGCTCCTCGGTGGAGCCTCCAACGTAAGTATCCCTTCGCTCGTAAGGGCTCAAATGACGAA